GACCCCTTCCCATCCGTGTGCCAGGCACTGCCCATGCGAGACACGGCCACTGCGGAGCCCCGCTCCCTGCTGCTGTGGATGGGCTGGGCTGGGACCATCCTGAGCCAGGAGCTGCCGTCTGTTGTAGAGAGAACCCTGCAATGGGGCTGGGCAGGTGCGGGGGTCCCAGCCTGGGTCCCCCTGGTGCTCCAGGGACATCTGATGGGGAGGGAGCTGCCAGCCAGCCTGGGAGCTGGGGGACTAATCCAGGCTCTGGGGACCCACGTCTGGGAGTGGGGGAGTGAGCTACAACCTGGGGCGAAGCTGCTGGTGTGGGGCTGGGGCTTGAGCAGGGCATGGGTCAGATGGGAGATGCTGGATCCCCAGCACCCAGAGCCATCCATATGGATAAAGCCATGCAGGGATCCCGGGGATCGGTCAAGGGCTGGCCAGGGAGCAGCCCAGAGCCTGCTGGGGAGCCCAGCAGGGCTGGTCATCAGGCAGACACACCAGTACTGTGGTGTTGGGGCTACGCAGCTTGCCCGCCCGGCAAGGAGACAGGGGTCAGGGGGTGCTCTGAGCAGGAAAAGGGGAGCCCTGGTTTAGGGGTGGGGGTAGGGGGCTAAAGCTGGGTCCAGGAGGGGGGCCCTTCTGCCTCTGCACTGCGGACTCTGTCCCAGCCGTCCTCTGTGCACTGCATTGCTTTGGGAAGGACCTTTTTGGATTCCTGGAGGTTTCCTCAGGGAGCTGCTGGGCGCTGCAGCACAGCACCCTGCGGTAAGCAGGATTGAACCTTGCCACCCCACCCAGCTGCACCCCCTAACACCTCTCTGCCCTTCTTGCGTGGGGTGGGGGAACCCTGTAGGTGGGGCATAGCAGGACCCCAGGGTGGGAGCTGTGGGGATGGAGAAGAGGTGAGCGCTGTGGATCTACCCTAGAGAGGCGAGATCCCCCACCTCGGTCCCAGGATGGGGGATTTGGAAATACAATACCTTGGAAAGACCTGGGCTCATCTGCCTGGATCAGGATGTCTGAGCGAGGTTTGGTGGAATGGGGATGGATGGGGAATGGCTGTTTCCTGCTTCTTACAGAGCAAGAATTTGGGGGGGGGGAGCACCAGGTAAAATAGGGTGCGAAGCAAGCAGGACAAGGTGGTTCTTTGTGGAAAACATCAGTGAGCTGTGGGTCGGGATGCTAAACCTTTATACGGGATCCAAGCACCTTTAGACAAAATAGTGGCAGAAAAGCCCAGGGAGGAGGATGAAATGCAAAGACACTTCCTCTGCCGTGGGATCTGCAGGGGGTGCTGCTTGGGAGGGAGCGGGAGGCGGGGGGATGTGTGTTAGGTAAGTGCAGGGCTGCTCTGCAGGGTGGCTGGGTCCCAGAGGCAGGGCTGCTCGTCACCCTAAGGTCCAGGGACCTTCTCCTCCTGTGCCACTGGCCAGACTCAGCAGACCCTGTCCTTGTGCCTTCCCACGGGCATGTCTGGGTGTGCCAGGCTCCTGTGTGTGCACAGCCTGGCACAGGGGCATCTCAGGCACCCACCAAGGGTGCTCCTCAGCGCAAGCTGTGGGTGCAATGGCCATGGCTCAGAGAGGACAGTTTTCCTCTGGAAATAAGGAGCACTGGTGCCTGATTCAAAGCCACAGCAGGTCCTGCCCTGTCCTGGTCTCTCCTTCCCCTATACCTGCCTGCGCCTGCAGAGGTGCAGGTCAGAGCAGTGTTGCACCCCGACTTCAGCTCACCACGGAGACATCCTTGCAGGGCACAGTGCCCCTAGAGATGGGCAGGGGCTGTGCTGTGCCACCTGCCCAGTTTCAAGCAGAGGTGGCGGTAGGGAATATTGATGCTGGGATAGATCTGGGTACTGCCAAGATACCTCCTCCTCAGGGCTGCACATCGAAGCAGCAGACCAGATCCTCACACCAAAGCAAATCAGCAGGTATTCATCTTCAGTGGGGTGTGAATGAGGGCGGGAGGGATGTGGGGAGCCCAGATCCAGACCCACTGCAGCCTGCATTGACCTCTGAGCACTCCTACCCCTGTCCTAAGGTGCAGGGGTGTCCTCTACTCCTTTTGCTGGGGTGACAGGATGGGGTAGGGATGCTGTGAAGGAGGCACGACCTCGTTACCATCTTCTATGTCTCTAGAGCAGGGAAGATGCAATGAGGTACATCTGAAACTTGGGTCTGGGAGGGGGCAACACAGTGGGGGATCGAGGAGACCGGGGCACATCCTGCCCCACTCCTTGTACCCTGAGAGGGAGCTTTAACCTCTCTGGGGCCCGGCCTTGCAGGCAGCGGGCAGATCCAGCTGTGGCAGTTCCTGCTGGAGCTGCTCTCGGACCGGGCCAACCTGAACTGCATCGCCTGGGAAGGCACGAATGGGGAGTTCAAGCTGATCGACCCCGACGAGGTGGCGCGGCGCTGGGGGGAGCGGAAGAGCAAACCCAACATGAATTACGACAAGCTGAGCCGGGCGCTGCGCTACTACTACGACAAGAACATCATGACCAAGGTCCACGGCAAGCGCTACGCCTACAAGTTCGACTTCCACGGGTTGGCGCAGGTGTGCCAGCCGGCCGCCCCCGATCACACCCTCTACAAATTTCAGGGCAACCTGGCCCCGCTGCCCTTCTCAGGCATCTCCAAACTCAACCTCATGACCTCGGGGGTGACGCCGACCGGCTTCTCCTACTGGCCTGGCTCCAGCCCGTCCCTCTACCCTGGGCACAGCCTCCAGCCCTCTGCGGAAGCTCAGCAGGGAGGGATGGGGTTGGGGGTGGGATCGTGCCCTGCTCTCAGTGGCCCCCTTTTAGATTTGGAGAGTGGCGTGGTGGGGGGTGAGGGGTGCTTGCAGGGTAGCTGGGTTGGTTCCCTGATGTGGGTGGCTGGAGGAGAGAAGCCATCTAAATTTAGGGTGGACAAGAGATCCATGATCCTGGGGATGGATGTGGATACCTAAAGCAGGGTGTGAATGTAAGGAAAAAAACATGGGCTCTCCTCCTGGCAGGGACCATGCCCCCTCCTTCCTTTGCAACATGCCACCCACCCCATGAACATCCTTAGTTCTGCCCCCAGCCTGTGCCTGCCCTCCCCTCTCCCTGTGGAGAGGAGTCAGGAGCTGGGGCCCCAGGGCAGCTGTGTCCAAGGGTGGGGATCCTGCTGGGCAGGGGCAGGGAAAGGGGACCCCTCCTTGCCACTCCTTGGTCCCCCACCTTTGTTTCCAAAGCTTTCCTTTCCTCTGCTACCCCTCCTGCCGACGGTGGCTTCCTCCAGACCTCAGGAGAAGCCTTGGTCTGGAGAGCAGATGCCCTTCGTGGGTTAACTCCTGTCCAGGGCAGGGGTCTGGGGTTGGAGGTGCCAGGGGCAGGAATGGGGGGCAATGCCAGCCCCCAGGGCAAGGCCAGAGCCTGGAGGCAGCAGAGCCCAGCCCCTGTAACCCAGTGCCTGAGGACCACAACACAGAGCAGGACGGTCCCTGACGCCCTGCACATGAGACCATGTCCTGCTGCTCACTTCCAAGTTTAATGCTCCAGTTTTACTGTGGCTTTGGCCCCTCGCATGCAGGGCTTGGTGGGACACACTTGATGGGTGGGAACATCCCCAGGGACAAGGCTCGGTGGGAGGTGGAATAGGAGAAGGGATGTCAGGAGGACTGGGAGCCCCAAGCACTGAGGCACAGCCCTGGGTCTCTCCCCCTGGGTCCAAGGAGGTGCTCCCATCCTCCGGAGCAGGACTTTGGCCCAGTGGATGCAGAAGAGCTGGGTGTGCTGGGCTCTGCGCTGGCTGGGGGGAGGGATTGGTCTTCAATAAAACGGAGAGGTGCTGTTAATGTGTGTCCTCTCGCATCTGCAGTGGGCTGGCGAGAGGGGAAACCACCCAGCAAATCCCCTCCCATCCAAGCCAGAGCACCTGCAAGGGCTGGGGTGAGGAGGATGCGGCCGCCCTGCCTCATCACCTTTTCTCCAGGCATCACCTCCAGCTCTTACAGACCCCAAGAGATAGGACAGAGCTGGAAACCTCTGGGCTTCTTGAGACACCCCTCCAGGGAAACCACATGCCCTGTTCCCAGACTGGCAAGGGGGTGTGGCAGCTGGAGGCAAAGAAGAGATGCAGTTGGCCTGGTGGGATGTCTGCCACCCTGACATCATCCAGGGGAATCTGGGATGCCAGGATCCAGATCTCTTGTGACCCACAGAGCCCAGTGCAACCAGCTTGGGGCAATGCACTGGGCTCAGCATGGCCTGATCCTGCCGTGGGTGTCCTTGTGGGGCTGTGCTGTGCCAGGACTGAGGAAGTCCTGAGCCATGGGGCCAGGCTCATGCGTGACATTGATGCAGGGGTGAGCAGGTAAGCACTTGCTTGGGCTTCAGGAACATGCCCACGGATCCACTGGTGCCCATGGTGACTGGTGTGGGCTCAGGGACTTCCCTCTGACTGCCCCCACCTTGGGGCTGTGCTCCCCATCCCACTGCCGTTGAAGGTCCAGGGTGCCAGGTCTGGGTACCAGGCTTATGGCAGAGATCAGATCGCCTGTGTAGGGAGGTGCTGTGCAATTACCCAGCCCATGCAGGGGGTGGTCAGCCCCCAGCCCCTCTCCCTGCACCCCCCAGATCAGAGCAGCCCCCAGATCTGGAGGGTCTGTGTTGTCTCCTCTGCGTCTCTCCAGGATCCAGTCACTCTCATGGCCTTGGTGGCATCTGCTCAGATGAGTCCTCACTGCCCTAATCAGCTTAAGGGAGGGGGATCTGGTGCCAGTGTCTCTCTGGGGAGGGCTCAGGCTGTGGGGTGGGCCTGATGCTGCCAGTGGGGAGCCCATGTATGGGAAAGGAGCTGCAGGGACTGGGGGGGCCCTCCTGGGGGGGTGTGGGAGTCCTCTTCCTCCAGGGTCCCTGAGCATTGCACAGCCTGGTCCCCAAGGATGGCAGAAGGTGGAGGGAAAAGTATTGGTTACCCCCATGCAACCAGCACTCAGGCTGTAGACCACTGCCCTGACCCTCCCCACCCTTGGCTTGCCCTTGCAAGGGCTGGCCACAGCTGGTTCCCTCAGAGCCAGGGCAGGGGCCTGTGCCCCCGCCAGGGGAGTCTGCTTTGGGGCTTAGGTAATGGCATGACGCAGGGCAGGACACGGATTAAGGGATGTGGGTCACTAGCAGCTCTCTCCGCCCCCCCCCATCCTGCTCCTATCCCTCCTGTCCCTCTGCCAGTGCCTTCTCCAGGGAAGCCCAGTTCCCACCTCATTCCCTGCCGTGTAACCCCTGTTCCTGCTGGATTGGAGGCCGGGTATGTTGGGTAAAGGGTGGAGTTACCTTTTTGGGAGAGGGAGGACTACTGCATACCCCCAGTGCAACAGGCTGCAGCTCAGGGCTCTGCTCTGAGCTCACCTGACACAGTCCCCCTGCTCGGTCCCCAGAGTGCCACCCCAAAAGCCGGGAACCAGCCTGGCAGCCAGGAGGGAAGGTGGGGGACACCCACGCAGGACTGTACCGGTGATGCTCTTGCCTGCCTGAGGATGCAGCCGGTGTCACCATGGCAACTCGGGATGCTCCCATCCCCAGGCCCCACTGGGAGCAGCTCCCCCCCCTCCCATGTTGTGCTTACCAGAGGTGGGGGCAGAGCATCACCTCCAGCCCAACCCAGCCTCCCCCCTCCCCAGAGCCCCCTCTCCCCCAGCCTGCCAGCAGCGCTGCTTTCTTCAGTCACCAAAACTGCCGGCTCAGAGCAGACTGCAGCAAAATCCTGCCAATGGGCGAGCGGGGCCGAGCCCGGCACAGCTCCCACTGGAGCATCAGCATCGTCCCTGGCCCCAACCAGGGGTGTCCAGCCTGGGGGGCTGATGGGGGAGCACTGTCCCTGTCATTGGGGTGCACCAGCTGGGTGGGGAGCCTGTCCTAGGTGGCTGGCAGCAGGATGCGTGGGCCCGGTGCACCCACGGGCTGCAGACCTACCTGCGGGGAGTCCTGGGGCGCCCTGCCCAAGCTGAGATGGGGGAACATGGTCCCAAAGAGCCTCAGCCTGTGCCGGGAAGAGAGAGGGAGCCGCACACGTGGCCTGGCAGCTTCTGCCACTGCTTTGTGATTAAAGGCAGAAGGTTTTTTTGCTACTTAAAAAAAAAAGTATCTTTCTCTCTGGATTTCTTTAGCCGGCAAGAGGTCAGGACTGAGCCCTGCCCTGGCCTCAGTCTCTTGCCAGGAAGACCCCTCCAACTCCCCCAAAGCCTCCCAGCCCCACAGTAAGGGATCAGAGGGGGGATGGAGTAGCCCCTCTCCTATTTTAGCAGAGCCACATCGCCACTTGCTTCGTTTCTCATGCTGGGAAGAGCCTTTGCAGCACAGCCAGGTCACGCCTGCCCCGGGGGACGTGGGCTGCCTCCCTGCCCATCCCTGCTCCCCCTCCAGCTCTCCCCATTCCCACCTATTTCCTCCTCTCTGCATCCCCGCTGCGCCGGCTCCTCAGCTCATCCCCCCCACCCCTAAGCTGCTGACTCACATCCTCTCTCCAGACGCCACCTTCCCTTGGCCTGGCTCCCTGCAAAGCGCTTTGTGATTTAGTGTGGCAGCCGGGCTCCAAAACCACCTTGTGAAGCCCCCTACAAGGAACCAATCTTGATTCTCCCCAAAGATGCTGCTTTCTCCCTTGCCAATGTGCTCAGGGCTGGGGCCACCGTCAACCCCCCTGGCCTGGACTTCTCTTCCCCCAGGTCCTGGGTGCACCTGGGGGGGAGCTTTGTACACTTTGGGTTTCTTCCCTGCTCCCAGACACAGGGATGCTCCGGATGGGGCCCCAAACCTTGTGCCTGCTCTCTGGTGCCCAGGCAAGGGCTGACAGGGAGATGGCGTCCTGGTGCCGCTCCTGCCCTGCTGCACATCGAGACCTTGGGCCGGACTCTGCTGAGGGCAGGGGCTGGGCAGCGGGGAGGGCTGGATTAGTGCGCTAATGCCAGATTATGCTTTAATGCAGGACTTCTGATGAGGGAGCAGCACCCGGTCCAGCCCGGGGGGCACTCACTCCCTGGGACAGAGTCCCCACGACATGCCCGGGGGCCACAGCTTGGTGCTTCCTGGCTGTCGCCCAAGGAGCTCGGTCCTTGGGGGTGACACAGGACCATGAGACAGGCAGGGGACACAGCACAGGGTGACCTCCATGCTCATCTCTCAGTGGGCTGGAGGTAATGCCCCAGCCTAGGCAGCCCTGGCCCTCTGCTCTGCCAGGCTCCATGGCAGCAGGATTAGCCATCGCAGCAGGGCTCCAAGGCATCTGGTTCCCCTTCTCTACCTGCCCCAGCTTCTTGGCACAGAGCTGTCCCCAGTCTGTGCTCCTCAGTCCCATACCCACCAGCCAGGCAAGGCCACAGCCCATGTTTTAGCTACAGCAGGGACCAAACTGTCTGCTGTCCCAACCTCCCACAGGCTCCTGCCTGCCACTGGACCACCCTGGGCACAGGCAAAGCTCAAAGCCTCTTGCAGGTTCCCACCCCAGCCTGGATGCGTCCCCCATCAGCTGAGACCCTGTGGTGGCTGTCCTGCCCCTCTGTGGGTACAAATATCTCATCAGCCAATTTAGTCTAGGACACCTCATTCTCTCTCTGCCATTTGCTGCCATCTTCCTGGGTCACTTTGTCCATGTCTTCCCCCCAGACATCCCACCAGCAGCTGTGACCAAAGTGCCATGGGGCAGGGAGGGGACTAGAAACCTGCACCCACAAGTCATCACCAATTCAGCAGAGCAGCAACAGCCTGAAGCTGTGATGGAGTCGGTGTCCAAGTAGCTCCCACAGAGGCAGAAGAGACTTCCCACTTCCATCTGCCTTGAGGAACACGTTATCCATCATCCTCGCAGCCAAATGGAGGAGAAGGGCTTGTACAGAAAGCCAGGTTGAGACAGGTCCTTCACCTGCCATGTGGGTGCCAGGTCTGCATCATCCAGAGCGGTTTCCTCCCTACAGAGCAGCTCCGAGTCACT